TTGACGTTGTAGCCTCCGCCAGCAAAACTTTGTCCTCATCTTGGGCAGAGCTATGGGTGGGCCAACCTAGGCCATGGCCCACCCCCAAAAACTAAAAAAAGCTTAATTTTGAAGGTAAAAAAATTCGTGTAACTTTTTTTCTAAAAATATTATTTATACCGGCCCAGTGTGACCCAGTGCCCTGGCTCCACCCCTGATCCTCATTAATTTGAGAAGAAACCATCCATAACACCACCGTCAAAATTGATAGAAGAAGAACCCTAGAAATCCTAGGGAAGAAAACACCACTCATATGAGTGTATAACCACTTTTGAAGCTTAGACAATCAAAAGTTGTAATCTATGTCTTTTTACTGATGATGATTGATGACTTTACTTTCCTCACTATTTTTTATTTTATTCAAGCCCATCTTTTAAAGCAGTCTGGTAACATCTTTTTTTGAGCTTATCAGTCGGCATAGCTTTATTAGTCAATACATCAATCACGAAATTTCTAATTTCACACGTTGAATTGTTTAATAATTATAATAAGTGAGGTTAAAATTACTTTTCTGACTGATTTGAATGAAGTTAGAGTAGATGAACATTTTAGCTATTTTCTTTAATCTATTAATAAAATATATTGTATATATACTTTTTCCAAAATTAAGTACATTCATCCAATTCAGGCGCTTCAAACAGCATTTCATCAGTTTCAACAAATTCAACCAATTTGAATGTTATCAAATTGACCCTTAATGTTGAATAGAACACACGAAATCCATCATATTGAATGAAACTGTCATAGCATCATTGTTAGGATATGAACCTCATACCATTGCACTACTCAACAACCTCCCCAACATTTAGGACATGTTTACTTGGCCGTGTAACTCACCGTTAGGTTAATAAGGAGGCTGAAGTAAACGTTCCATGCTGCTTAAATGCCGGCGTACTAAGCGGATAGGTCATTTAATCGCCGTTAACTAAACGCTCGCTCCCCCCATGTTTTATTTAGCCGTTGACTTAAGTAGTTTTCTATTGACAATTCTACCCTTATTTTTTAGTGCGCCTTGTTATTTCTTTTATTACATATGTACCCCAGTTTACCCACAGGCCTCCTCATCTTTTCCATTCATACGACATTGACTCTTCTGCCAAACTTCATTCTCCTCCATTCACAAGAAAGCTCTCCAATGTCGCAATCGATGCCAAAGGTACATTGTGTGAGTTAGATTTTGGAAATTTCTTGGACAAAAGGTTAAACCTAACATGCGGTAGCTCAAATTTTATACTCAATTTAGGCTTTGCATATTTAGATTAGGTATTCAAGTTGCTATTCGTATACTGTGGCTATTTCCAGAGCAGTAGGCCTGGACTCGGGCCGGGCGGCCCGACCCGGAACCGGCCCGGCCCGGCCACTGTAGCAACCGGCCCGGCCCGGTGGCCCGGTCCACCGGCGGTTCGGGTCGAACCGGCCCGGTGGTTCCCGGTTCCGGGCCCGGGCCTTCCAAATGGTGAACCGGCCCGGCCGGTTCGGGCCCGGTCCGGGCCGGATTTTAATTTTATTTTATTTTTTTTTGAAATTTTTTTAAAGTTTTGGGTTGGAATAGGTATTTTGGGCCATTTGAGGTGGTTTGGGGTGATTTGGGGTTGAGGGGGAGGGGTAGGGGATCAAATAGGAGAACAAAAAAAAAAAATTAAGTGGGCCGGTTCGGCCCGGCCCGGCCCGGTTTGGCCCGGAACCGGGACCGGAACCGGCCACCGGCGGTTCGGGCCCGGGCCTCCCATTTCCTGGCCCGAGGCCCGGCCGGGCCCAGGCCCGAACCGGGCCCGAACCGGCCCGAGTCCAGGTCTACAGAGCACTATGGAGGCAGTGGTGTATGTGTTTTGGTATTGAAGGCGTTATTCAAGCTGTAATTTGTATACCTAGTTCTAGATTGGGTATTTGGACCCGTTTGGGTTATTCGAACTTGATAAATGTAATCCTATTTATTTTACTGGTTTTGTTGTTTTCGTTGGGGATTACACGTTTTTTTTTTTCAATTTCATGGTAGACTATTGGGCTGTGTTTTGTTACTCCCTATATATTATGTAGTTATTTTTTACTCCCTATGCTCTATTTTTTTTGTTTTGTTTCAGCAAGACAGAATGATGAATTATATAAACATCACTTAAAGATTATTCTTGACCTTTAGTATAGAAAGCATATTTCAAGCCTATTGAAGTAAACATATCCTTACTAAGCATCTCTTAATAAGCACTAGCTTACTAGCCCATGTTTTAACAAACACCGTTTATTAAACAAGGAGAACAAGTAAACATGTCCTTAGTGAACTTAGATATGAACTTAGGGAGTATTATTTGGGCTGAAATTTCGTTGTTAAATAAGGCCTGAAAGGCCGTACAGCCGGACCGACCCAGTTGAAATATGGAAATGTCCGAGAAGTTCTCAGCCCAGCCCCACGAAATGGACCGTTGAACCGCCAACGGTCACCTTGAAAGTCCTTATCGGGTCTCCTTTCTTTCTCCCTCAATTATTGGTTCTCTGCTCTTTAGCCTCTGCTATAAGGGGTCAGCGTTCTTTACTCAGCATTAACTTAGCCTTCAACTTATTCATCAACGTAATAATTGGTTCAGAAGAATAGCAATGGATGAGAACCTAGAATCGCCGCCGCAGGCTCAGAAAGAAAACGCCGTTCCAACGCTACAACCCCTTACTCCGGCCGCCGTGCCCGCCCGTCTTAAGGTCCCCAAACCTTTCAAATACCCAGAAAGGTGAGCTCTTTTTCCTGTCATTCTAACAGACCTCGTTATACTACGATGATGTTTTCTTGTGATCTGATTTTGACCGATGAATCTTTCTGATGATATAGATACACAAGTCCGACTGATCAGATGATGTCCCCAGTTTCAAAGAGACTTCTTGGCGACGGAAGAACAAGAAAGGCCGTCGCTGCTGCAGCAGCTGCCGCCGCTCCCGGACCCTTATTACCTCCTAAGCCTGTAAAAGCCGTTGCCCCTACAGCTGACTCCACCGCGACAGCCACCGCTCCCTTCAGCGTTCTCGCCGCCAGAGTTGATATTTAGTCACCCAAACAGCGCTTTGACGTTCAAAGTCCTCTGTAATTGTACTAATGTCATTCTGGAAAAGGAAATCCGTTTTTGTTGCTGTTTTCTTTTCTGTTTTTTATGTATCAAATAATCAGCATGTATTTGAAATAAGTAAAGTTGATTAATGTTAATGTTTAGGTAAGTGTGAGAGTTGAAAAAAGTATCTCAAAGGTGGAAAACTAAGATCTAATACACAAAAAATGTGATCTTAAGTTTCACCTTTGTTTAGAATGAAGTTGGGGCTAATTACGGAATTCTTGTTTGGCCAGATACGAATGTTAAAATTTTCAAAAATACTATAGGCACCCCTCCTCCTATTGTGGGGCTTAAATGGGGCACGGGTGGGCATAGCTCAATTGATAGAGGGAGTGACACAAGGAATAGATTTTGGGTTCGATTTCCGGCAACTGCGATGAGAGGTTACTCAACAAAAGAGGGCCTCTGCAAATACCGGGGACGGAGCCTCACTCTATATCTGTCAGATTGTGATTATAGTCCAACTTACATCTTCCCATCGTGCTGTTCGGTCGGTGTTGGGGGCCCCTCGGGATGGGATGTCATCATTTTTATTGCTTAAATGGGGCAACTCATTTAAATGATGACCTCATTTAAATCACACAATGAGTGGGGTATAATTGGAGTACCCATTTTGGGGTTCCCAAGCACAACTCTAAAATTTGTGTGTGATGATAATAGAATGAAGTAGTTTAGTCTCTTTAAGTCTAATTTGGTATAGTTTATTGAAGTGTAGTTTGAAGGATGTCTTTTGGGAGGTGCAATAGGTGTTTGGCATCAGGGTCCACTCTTATAGGGGACCCTTAAAAATTTAGAATGTAGTATTAGTTATAAATTGAACTATCTAATCTATTTGTATTTCATTGCTAAATGTTGTATTTTTTTTTTGTTTTAGGGGGTTCATTTTGTCATTTGGAATCGGGCCTCCAAATGCATTAGACTGCCTAGTAGTCTGATCTGATATGTTCTGATTTTGTCGGTAAAACATCCAAAATTCGAAAAATATAAGCAAAACATATGGAGTATTTCATTTCCTCGATAATTATACAGAGGATCTTTTATTGAGAGTAGAGTATAAATATTTCTAGTTTTAAATTTATCTATAGGGAAATTCTACGGTACATCACTAAATATAGATTGTACCGGTACACTCCATTTTTAAACCAATCAAATACTGCCACATTCACGTGATCACGTCCTAATCATTTTAGTATGGAAATTTTATACTACCTTATTTTGCAGTTTAGTCCTCGCTCAATGAGAAATAATAAAAATTCTCTCAAACCAAAAAAAACATTTTATTATGAAATATTATATCAAGCGTTGTCTTCTGCCTTAAAGTGTAAAGAATGATTTCTCATGTTCTACTGGTCACATTTCTTCCACTAGTTCAATTCTAGCGAGTTAGAATTAATATTACGAATTCAATCTTATGCTAATAGTTTTCTACATATTGTGTTTCTTGACTCTGCATTCTCGCCGGAACATGTAATTTCTTTGGGCGTTCTTCGTTGATGGCACAACGTCTTCCATAACTAGGCGCCGCAAGTTCATTCGGCGAAATCTTCATTCTTCCTTAGGTAGCCTCTTCCTTATTTCAGCTAGTTTTTTTTTTCTTTTTGTGGTTTGTAACGGCAGCCATGTGTTCGATCTACCGTCTACGGACTTCAACTACAGATGGAGGAGGAATTGTATTGCAATTGCAAATATTGAAATTACGGTGTGCTTTGACGTGTTAATACTAAAATTAGGCGTTGATCTGATGTGAAATCCTCTCTCATCTGATTGGTTTAAAAATGGATGTACCAAAACACTCTCATTTTATGCATGTACCGTAGAAGCACCCTTATCTATATTTGCTCCTGTTTTAGGCAATGTTTTTCCTACTGGTCAATAACACTTCTTTAGTTCTTTAGAGGAAAAAGCTCTAACTGTCGACTAAGTTGATGGCGCGGCAAAGAAATTAGCAGCACCGAAATAGTAGCTAAGCCGTTCTTCAATTAAACTATGGGGTTTCCCTTTTTTTTTAATAATAAACAAAGTGGAAAAAAATACATTTTTTTAATTATTATCTGCTGGCTAAGAAAATCCCCTGATCATACGATTAACTTTTTCCTCCACATCTCTTTGATTCACATTCTTTCCTGAAGGGAAAATTCAAGGGGCGGACTTCGATTTTATTACAGGTATGGATTATGATCAAATTACGTTTTTCATTAAATGCCCTTTGTATGTTTCTTGAAATTTCGATCATTGTTGTTGTCATGGATACGATAATCTTCTGGTATATGAAAATTAATAGTTTGAAATCTTTATTTAATAAATGCATGAAGCTATAATTTAGTGGTTAATCTGTTCTTAACCTGGTAAGATTAGAAGGAAGATATTTCGTTCTTGTATATCATTGCAATGGGTGCGATTGTGGGAATAAGCTAAACTCACCCCATGACAAAACTGTCAAATTTACTGCAATATATGTTTATTTGGAAAATAAACATTATATATAAGGCAATAAGCCAATAATTTATTTTTCCAACATGGAAACAAATTTATAGTGAAGCCAATTCTGAGTGTTTATTCTCTTTGTGTAGTAAGCAGACAGCTTTCCTATTCTTACTATAAGCAAAATAATTACTCAGTATAATAATTAACTAATGACTTGTTTATATGATTGAAATAGATGTTATCTTTTTCTCTCTCATGAAAGTGAACAGATTGGCATCAACAACAACAAAATAGAGCTTCACTGCTTTAGTTCTTGAAAAGAACTTGAACCGCTATGAAATGGTGTAGGAGGAATTTGAATGCTTTATTTGTTCGGCTAAGAATGACAAATTGACAGGTACTAAAGGTTCTGCTCAAGGTAGGAAAGGTGAAAATAATTCTATTAAACCAAAATGTATACTTTCCTACTAATCATGTATTATTTTCTTAAGTGATTTTCTTTTGACACTGCAGGAAGAAAATGGATTCCATACAAACACATTCTAAGCCTATTCTTGGAGACGATGAGAAACAAATTGAACCTAAACAAACGGAAAGTGATGATCCAATTCTTGAACGCGTTGCATCATGTATATCGATAGCCACATCGCCTTCTCCTATGTCGTCCCCGTCATCAGGTGGTAACACGCCACAATGGAGTATGATGAGCGCATCTCCACATCATGGGACAAGTAACCAGCTCTCATTCACAGACGAACATCCTGATTGGAATGCACCAAATACGAATTATGACCCAACACGAATACCATCGTCAATTTTCTCTAGCAAGCCATCAATGCCCGGGGAATGGAGTGTCACTTCTAATGAGTCATTGTTTAGTATTCATACGGGTAATAGCAGCTTCTGTAGAGATGAGAGGAAGAGCTTCTCTTCAACCCTTCCCACTCTCATTGAAGTGTCAGCGGATCGCGAAGAAAAGAGCGGTAAGATGTCCAGCGGATCTTCTCAAGTACAAGAGAATGATGATGTTGAGACCCCAAAGTCATTCATTTCGAAACATACCTCGAAAGATTATGATGATGAGGAGGAAAAGGGGAATGTGGTGGGTGGTGAAGTGTATTCTTCTACCATGAGAGTGGAAGGTGGTGGTGTTGCAGTTCCTCAAATCGAGCGTATTCAAGAATCATCCCGCCTTTCAACCGGGAGTACAACTAGCACCAAGTCCTTTGCATTTCCTGTGTAAGTTTGTTAGATCATAGATCATGTAGTAATTCCTTTTTTTGGTTATACAACCCTCACACCCGGTCATACAAGACCAGTTATGGATCATGTGAACTATGATATCATATTAAAATTTGAATTTGAGGCCTTAAAAGTCAATCTGACAGAAGAAGCTCAAGATCATAAATACCTTTGTCATCATGAACTACACATGCTAACATTTCCTAAACCTTTAAGGCCTTAACCTATGTCAAAATCTCTCATTTAACAAATCAAATAAGTTCTAGAAGTTGATATGATCATATTTGATAACAGGTTGGTAAAAGATTTTAGTAGAAGAGAAGGTTTGTTGAAAGGGGACAATGGCGGTATGAAATCAGAGGTTCAACCACAAGCAAGGCAGCAGTCTGAACCAGAGCTTCAGCAGCAGCCAGCTGAGACAACAGCAAAACCCGAAACTTCTAAAGGAATGCCCGAAGCGGTACCACCCGTGGCTACAGCAGAGCCCGGTTGCTTTTCTTGTTTCTCTTGTTGTTCACGTTGCTGTTGATATATACTCCATCTCTTCTAAAATATATGTCTAGGTAGGGGTTTCAAGTAGTTTAATAAAATTTATAGTAGTTTGAATGTGTGCTTTAATCAATTTTTGGTAGCTCCATTTTCAAAAAAAAAAGAAAGAAAGAAAGAATTTCTCTGAACATTCGGAAAACGAAATGAGACTAATATTTCAGGATGCATGGACTAATATATTACAGAATTAGAGTATATAGTTGCTATATTCAATACTCCGTATTCTTAAAAATACGATTAAATCATGGAGCTATTCTCTTGGCTGTTTGTGCGTGAGTCTAAAAACAAAAGAGTGACTTGTAAGTAGTGTTTGATAAATGTTATTGCAGTCAAATAGTTGCCAATCCTGAATTTTTCTTTGAAATGATATTACAGTCCTATACTTGATACAAATCTCCCTCGAAGTAAATGAGAACAAAAAAAAATCATTATAAAGTGCATATTTTGAGACGATTTTGAGCCTAACAATAAAATTGGTTGTATTGAATGAAAATGATTAAATTTTTGTTGAAACGGCTGAATGAGTTGAATCTTAAATTATGAATATAATATATAGCACATATAAAATATCTTTTACTGAAAAAATAAAAAATACTACCTCCGTCCCATTTATATTGTCTCGGAAGAGGGTGTCACAGTTATTAAGAAAAGTGGGTTTGTGTGGTTGATATTAATTGATAAAATAAGAATAAAGTAAGAATGATTTAGAGCCATACATACAAACTTTGTCAAATATGGTATGGGACATTTAAGTGGGACTTCCCGAAAAGGTAAAACGGGGCAATATAAATGGGACGGGGGGAGTAAATATTTAAAAAGATATTTATAGTGGACCTCTGCTGTAATTCGGCCAATTTAGTTCGAAAAGTAGCATCAATATTACTATTTTTATTTATTACATAATTCTGCCCATAACAGAAATGAAAAGTTATGTATTTGCAATAAGAATTATGGTTTTTGTTTTATATATCACGAGACACATGAAAAAGGAAAATTGATCATGTGTAACCTTCCTATAAATGCAAATGCAATTATTGGCCCTTCATAAAATTTAGTCTTTATGTGGCCTAATATAAAAGTAGGCGTGTAAAGTTATCGTCCCTAAACTATCGTCCCAATATTATCTCCTTCTTTCCTATTTTAGCAACTTTTACCATATCATATTACTCTAATACTCTTACCATCCTTACTACATCTACCCATATTTATTATCCCCACCGACCGTTTATCTCATTATTACTCCATATAGACGCTCCTCTCTCTCCTGTCTGTCTGTATTCCTCTCTCTCGTCTCTTCGTGAACCTTCCCTCTCTCTCGCCTCTCCCATTCGAACACCCCCTCTGTCTGTTCAACTCTGCTCTCCATCTTCAGATTTTTGCACCTTGTGTTGTCCTCCACTGATACGAATATTGGATTTGTAGATCCATTAATGGCGAAAAACGAGCCATTCTTGGTCATGCATGCCGATGTGGTGGTTAAATGGCAAAAATGGAAAGTAGATGGCAAACAGTGTTTTTTCTTAATAGTTGTGTCCGGTCAAAACGGGAGATAAAACAGGGACAGAGGGAGTACTTAAGTAGAACTTTCATAGTAATTGCTATTGAGTACATTTTATCAATCATCTAATTGCTATTAAGTACAATTGATGAAAGTTATACTTCCTCTGCCCCCCTTTAAATGCCTCGTTTTATCATATTGGGATGTCCTTATTTAATTGTCTCATACCTTATTTGATAAAGTTTGTGTGGCTCAAAATCATTCTTACTTTATTACTCCCTCCGTCCCGCTAAGATTGTCCCATTTTACCTTTTCGGGAAGTCCCACTAAGATTGTCCCATACCAAATTTGGTAAAAATTGTGTGGTTCTAAACCATTCTTATTTTATTTTGACTTTATCAATTTAATACCAATCACACAAAACCACTTTTCTTAATAATGGTGCCACCTTCTTCCGTCCCAATCTTAGTGGGACGGAGGTAGTATTACTTTATTCTCACTTTATCAATTAATATCAACCACCCAAACCCATTTTTCATAAAACTCGTGTCACCCTCTTCTGGGACATTTAAAAGGGGACGGAGGGAGTAATTGCTATTTAAGTACAAAAACACCTTTCATCACACGCTCAATACACTTCACCCTTAAAAAATGAGATGCTTTTATGCCATAATTTTAGATTCCATATTTTATATCATTCCATAAATACACTATGATTTGAAATATGGAACATTACATAAATACGAGGATGATCCTCCCTTGGGATGACAGAAGAAATGACCATCGAGGAAGCAGTTCGCTGGGCAATGGTGTTGGGTTGGCAGCGGATTGAAGTGAAATCGGATGCTCAACAAGTTGTTGAGGGCATCTACCAGACATATGGCTTACATTATAATGATATTATTTTTCAAGATATTAGACACATGATGACAAATTCCGTCAGTATAAATGTCCAATTTGTGCACCACACAATGAATCAGGCTGCTCATATTCATGCTAGGCAAATTTGTTCTAGATATGTCGGTATTTTGATGGATCATCCTCCCAATTGTATTAACCATGTTCTTTGATGTGTTGAGTAATAAAATTCTTATTTAGTTCTTAAGAAAAACACTTTTATGACATAACATTTAGGGTCATTCATTTTTATACTCCCTCTGTCCCAATATAAAAGGCACACTTTCCTTTTCGGTCCGTCCCAATATAAAAGGCACATTTCCCTTTTTGGCAAACAAATCAGTGTCAAACAGTGCAAAACAGTGTCAAACAGTGTCCAAACAGTGCCAAACAGTGTCTAAACAGTGCCAAACAGTGTTCAAACAGTGTTCAGCCTTAAAAAATCCCCAAACGCAAATGTGCCTTTTATATTGGGACGGAGGGAGTATTTTAAATACTTTCGGTATATAAATATATTATCATTCAATTCTAGTATCTTTGACCAGTAAAAAATGACTAACTAAAATGAGTCAGGGGGGGTACAATGTATAATCTCATGGACATTTAAGTGTGAAAAGTCAACATGAGTTACTATGACTAAGTTACTACTATAATCACTACATTTAGAATGTCAAATTTTCGAAAACAACATTCATTTTAGTCAAATATGCATGTATATATAGTTACTTCATAATATTTTCTTTGATAAAATATTAATGAATTAGTACATATATTACACTGAAACTCAAAAACATTACTGAGTTAAATTTGAAAAAACGTAGTATCTAATATAATTCGATCATATCTTGTTGAATGTTTTGTCGTTATAAGTATTTTATATCTTGTTGATAAGGTTTTATTGATTTTTAAAACTCGTATATAGATTTCATATACAAAATATCATAGGATATATATGTATTCCCTTGAAATGAAAAGCGTTGCGGAGTCGACTCCAAGCGGGTGTAGCATTTTATTTATTCACATTTTACTATATGATTTTTCGTTTCGAGTGATTTATACTCCGTATTTCGTTAGAAAGATCAAGACCACATTTGGACTCTCTATGTACTCCAAATGTGCTCTATGCAGCATCAACAATACCCAGCAAGCCATAAGAAACAAGAATGATTCAACTTAAGTGAGTCAAAAAGTAGTACTCAATTGCTTGAAGCTTAATAGTAACAGTATTCGTTATGTTTGGATGAATTGAAGTTGCATATGCCGACGAGTGAAATATATTTTTCGCCAAACAAGAACCATTGGTACCAGAGTCGTGGAGTTGTACCCAGTGAACCTGCAAATGTGGAACCATAGAAGAGCTCGGATCCGCTAATAGAGGAGGCTATGTTGTACGGAAACACGAAAATAAGAAGGAAACGAGAAACGAAAAAACGTCAACTTTTACGCAAAAATGCTTGTCTAGAGAGTTTCCAAAGAATTTTCGTAAAGTTTCTGAAACGAAAAAGGTGCACTTTTCCGGGAATTCCGTGCACGAGTAACTCAGTTGGTTGAGTGGTGGAAAAATTGGAATCCGCAACGATCACGTGGAGTTACAGCTCACGCGTGCTGGACTGGACTTCTGATGTGCACAGATATAAGATATATCACCATTGAATCGACTGAGTGACCGTGACACAACTTCCCAAAAATTTTGACGCTTCAACCTTTTGGAAGAAGAATGGATCGGTGGCCCGGTGACACGAGAAGAGGTGACCAGGAAATCATTAGACACCTAACAATACCTACTGGCTACAGTTCTTTATGGTTAATACGAAGTATATACTACTTCATCCTTGAGTATGAAAAAGAAAAAGATGATAAAAGTAAGAGTAAGAATAATTAAATATTCTTAAAATAAAACTATTTAAAAAAAGTAACGAACTTTTTAATGCATCTCCAAATGGAGGAGTATAAATTTAAATTATTTGTTATACGTACTCCTATCACTGAAGATTGAACATTACTCCTTATCTAGTAAAGTACACATCTAGAGCTCGGTCACAAACACCTTATCCAGGGGCGGAGCCAAGGGGGGTCAGGGGGTCAGTCGACCCCGCTGAAAGTTTGAGAGCATAGAGCTCTGAAATATCTTCGATTTGATATATTATGGCCCCCGTAACTCATTACGAGTAAAAAGTTATGACTTCTGCAAAAGCAGCACTATCTAAACGTAAAATCAGCAAAATTTGATGAGTAATATTGATTTTTCCCCAAATTTTAAAAATAGCGTATAATTAACTCATTACTTACGTGACATGACTCAAAAATAGAGCAAAAAATGTCTCTTTTATTGTTACGAGTGCCTATTTATCTAAACTGCATATAAAATATTCAACTCGGACATTGTTTGGAAACGATCCACCGTTTTCATTTTGTATAAAGTTGATTCTCGACCCCCTGGACCGTATTTCTGGCTCCGCCACTGACCTTATCTACTGCAAATATAAACCAACTGAGTGGGAATGTCCAAAATAAATGGAGGACATTAAGAACACGTTCGCAAGAGTGCGACAAGTTTATAACTAGATTCATGCTATATACTCGATATGCTATATTGGGTCTTGTATTCTTAGTTACATGAAAATAATTTCCGGTCATATTTGTTGCTCTTCTAAAAGCTATCATTTCACTTGTCCAACGTTAACTTTTAAGCCTAGTTGTTTGATTCTGATGTGTTTGTGTACCTCACAATTGTCCGACTGTCCGAGTAATTTGAAAATGAAGACCAATCTAACTAAAAACAGCCCTATGATGACTTAAATTGGCTTAAAATTTTCTGGTAAATTGGATTAAAAAACATCATATAGTCCGATCTAATTGATTCCGTTATACCCTCAATAATTTAATTTTGAGGAGGTAGTATCAAACTCGATCCAGTCCGATATGAACATACCATTTATACAATCAAAAGGGAGGTAATCTTTTCTGAAGTAAATTTTCATAAAACCCAGAGATGAAACCATTTCTAGTTATATCAAGATTTTGTACAATTGATTGTATGCAGAAACAAATTCCTTAAACACGGTTAAATCAATCTCTAATGATAACTGCGCCCTTTCGCGCTCTGTCGCTTGCATACAAAAAAGAACACAATCCCAACATTAATTAACCTTAAACCTAATAAAATCAGTAAATCACCTCCTCCATTTTTGGTTGGTGAAAAGCATTGAAGTGGTTATTGAAAACACATGTTAAAAGAAACAAGACGGGGTGACGATGATGTGTTTCAACGGGTTCGTGACATCTGTACCGCCAGCATGCTTCACAAACTCAGCAGGTGAAAGAAAGCTCCCATGGCAGACACACATTATCCTCACTTCCTCTCCCTTTTTATATCTGTACAAGAAGCCTTCGATCTTCTTCCCGTTGGGCCCATCGCCTTTCGTCGAAACACAAGGCATGTTCATCATTAGGTTCCTGAGGGCTTCATTGTTGTCCTTCGCGGGGGCGGTGACGGGATTCTCGGAGTTCTTGGTTGGAGGTTCAAGAATGGGAGCTGGTGGCATTGGCCCCTCCTCTTCAGACTGATCACTTGCACTTCTTGTTGCTTCCTCATTTTTAAGGGAAACTGAGATTCAAATTGGTTACAAGTGTTAGACATAATAGAAGTGATTCATCTAAATAAAGAGTCAAAAAAAAAAAGTTTCTGCAACTAGTAGTGCTTCTCTACAAATTGTAACTAATAAAGCTATGTAGCAACCCAAGGTGCATCTATGCGGTATGTATGCATCTATGATATAATAAGTTGTTTTATTTTGGTAAAAAAAATTAAAAAATCTGTTCGATATGAGATATCCTGATTTAAAACGGATTAACATGATCGCAATCCGGTTTGAGATTGAGAACAAAAATTAGGGTTGATTTAGATTTTAGATGATGCAATCAATGAAGTGTTCAAGGGTTAAGGTGGATTCAAGCGGATCAAAGATCAGCATTAACATAGCTGTGATCAAATCCGAATTATGGGAGCGTAAACCCCGCAGATTATAAAAAAGCATTGGACTATGGCCAAATTCTACTACCACCTGTCTAATTTGGAAATGTGGCAACTTGGGGCGTAGATCACCCCGTAGAGGGAGGTTACCGCAAGGTACAACTCTAAGCAATAACTCTAAGCAATGACATTGGATGAAACCACATTCTCTTTTCGTCATAGAGAGATCAAAATTCAACTTAATCCTCCCAAATAATTGTCCACAAAATTCAACTTAATCCTCCCAAATAATTGTCTGTCCCGTTCGGGCTCTCGGGGATGGGGTCATCCTTTTTTTTAATTGTGACACGAATTTTAAGAAAAAAATTGTTAGTCATGATCACGTCTATCACGCATATGAAAGTCTTACATGTTAAACGATTTGCAAATCGTGTAGCTCATAAGCTAGCTAGAGTTGCCGTTCATTTGTCTTAAAGTAGAGCTTGGTTGGCAGTATCCCCTCCAAATATTGTAAGCCTTATGGCTAATGATTTACTTAATTAATCTATGAAGCTTTCTAGTCAAAAATTATTATATGGAATGGTTAATATGAAATTTGTAAAGCATAAATAATTGTACACACAAAATATTCCTAAAAATAGTACGCAACATACTTGAGGGGTATATTGTGTATTGTGTTAGCCACACGTCTTTAGTTAAAGTTCCATTAAAGGTGTGTTTGGAGAGAGGCTTTCCAACACAAAAGGATTACATGGATTAGAACAGATCCATAAGAAAAAAATGATGGTAATGTAGTTTTATGCAATTCCTTTTAGTGTTGTAAATTCAATACAGAATCTGAAATACAAATTTTGAATTATAAATCGCCCCACAAAAACCCTTCTTCCTAAATTAAAAGCAATAATGGGTCTAAATAAACTCATCAGTCAATATTGGAAGGTTGAAGAAATACAAAATAAAAAGTGGGGAAAGGAATTTTACCTGGTAAAGGTTGACTCTCAAAATCAGAGACTCCAGAAGATCCACTGCCCTGTGAAGCTATAGATGATCCCTGAGAATTTGAAGGCAATAATGGCTTCCCAATATTCCCATTCCCCTTTTCTTCCTTCTCCCGCCTCTCTTTCACAACTCTCACGCTGTGATTAAGCTTCTCCACCCTTTTCCTCTTCGCTTCCATACGCTTCTGCGTCTGCGCCTCCTTCTTCCTCCTCCACTCCTCCGTCTCCCCATCCGAGCACGCTCGAGGCAGCGGCGCGTGGTCCGAGAACCCACGCGCCTCCCCTTCTCCACCGCGGACGGCCAAGTTCGATATCGAAGATGACCGTTTCATGTTGTGGGCTCTGTTCGGGTCAAACCCGAATTTCCCGTTCAGTGAAAGCCCAAGGCTCAGCTCAACCCCTTCCTCCGCAAATCCTTTCAAGACTGTTTCTTTAACCCCGCCGGTTTCCTCCTCGTTCTTGCCCGTTTCCCGGACGGACTTCGCCGGTAAATCGCCGGCGAATAAACGTAAATTCAACGGATCTCCCGAGATGCCATTTATCAAGGGAAGGCTTTCCTTTCTTCCTAGAATTGCTTCAGTCTCCGCCATCGAATCTTCCGAGAATCGCCGGAATAGCAAGAATCGCCGGTTCCAGAGAATAGAGAGGGAAAGGAAGATAAAAACTGCAGTTTTGTAGGGAGGGGTGGGAGAGGATTTGTAATTAATTAGAGAATGCTATGAAATGACTCAAATGCCCTGGACTGTGAAACGTAAGTTTGTGAGCGATGGACACGTGGTGGGACTGAACAGCGCAGAAGGCCCACGTGGGCTAGACAACCTGGTTTAACGGACGACGTCAAACATGTGTCCTTTAAGGTCCAGAGGTAAAGTTAAAGTCACCGGCGAGACGGACACGTACCGGTTGCTCTGTCATGCCACGTGTCGGGGAAATTCGGCCTCGTGAAGCCGCGACGATCTCGCTATATCTTCTCGCTGCCCTTTTCTCTCTCTAACTTTTGTGGGATGGCTAGGGTTTGGTCTCTCTCGTCATCGGACTAGCTGTCAACCAATACGTAGATGTCGTGGATAATTGAGGAGGCCGATACGTGGCAGGCAAGTTGGGCTTCGTGGTACTGTTGCCGATTGCGTCTCCTTACCCTACGTACGGCCATGACAACACAATCTTTTGTCCGTAAAATTAATTTGATTTCATGTACGGCAAACATGCCTTTAATTTTTGAGAGATTAATACTTCTGATTTCTGATTTTTTATTTCTTGTACACATATTAATACTAACCTTATACTGACCATGTTTGCAGTGGCGGAGTCAGAAGTCTATACTTAAAGGAGCCGGTTCTTGAAAATTTTACTTTGCAGGGGCCAAAGTTTAAAATATCAACATATTTTCTATAGATTAAACGTATTTATACATAATATATACTTAAGAATTTTTTTCCTTGAAGGGGCCGAGGCCTCCTCCAGCCCCTCCCTGTCTCCACCCCTGCATGTTTGTGAGGAGTTTTTTTGTTCGTGAATCCGATTCACAAACAAAATAATTTGCATAGACATATTTTGTTTGTGCCCGGGATTCACAGATAAAAAAAAAACTCTCACATGCATGGTGGGTACAAAAATGGGTATAAGAGTGAGTACACACAGTTTTTTTTGTTAATTTTTCTGATTTAAGGAGGTTTTGGATCTAATTATTAAAACTACTTCTGCTCCTTCAGGGAGCAGAAGCAGATGTTGAAGTGTTTGTGTGAAAATGCAGAAGTGATTTTGGTGCTCTAATTTACTCTTTGAATCAGTTTTTTTAGAAGCAGGGGGAGATGATTCTGATTCTGATTTAAAAAAGAAGCAGAATCAGAATCGGTTCCAAACACCCCCTAAGTAGTACAATTTCTCATGTACTATCTCTGTTAAGTGATACTAAGAGACCGTTTGGTAGCACGAAAATCGGCTGATTTGGCTGATTCTGCTGAAATTTATGAAGTTCTGGCTGAAGTGACTGCATTGGCCGATTTTGTTGATTTAAGAAAATAAGAAGTAATATTTTTAAAATATATTTTATTAGTAAAATAAAGAAAAAATTATATGTAAAAATTGCTAAAATGGTCATCTACAGTAACTTCAGTCAATACAGTCAGAAAAGTAACTTCAACCTTACTTTTTTCGACTTATTACACAATTTAGCGTGCGAAAGGAAAAACACATTTTTGGTGAAAAGGGAGGATACATATTGAGTTCGTCCAGATATTGTTGCACGAAAAAGATTACCTTTATCGGATGATTAGGAATCACAAATATTTTTATTAATTTGGTATGAGATCATATTTTTCCATTTTGTAGAGTATTCTTAAATATCGTATTTTATTATTCATGTGGATCACGTAGAATAAAATTATGAAACAATGAATAATGACTACGATCGATCAAATCTAGATAAGCAAGGTACCTTCATTATGTGTGTCAAAAAGTAATATTCATCATACTTTTAGGAAATTTTGTCAAATAGTAATTTTTTCATAATATTCATGTTATTGAGAAAATTCCTTTAAAATGAGTAAAAACGTTTAATTTCAAAATAGGAGTATCATGTTTTTTATTCCCTGGATAGGAGTAAATTTCTGCCAAGTTAGGCATTACTCCGTACAATTTACAAGGCTTTAAACATGGCATTTTTTCCAAACTTGGCAGATTACTTCTATTCAGGGAATAAAAAACATGATACTCCTATTTTGGGATTTCAAAACGTACGTTTTTACTCATATTTAGGGTAATTTCTCTAAAAAAGAATACGTAGTATAGAATTCCAAATATAAGTACGATTATGTCATTTTAAAAATTTATCTACATGTTTTGGGATTATCAGTGGGAGTAGAAAGTATTAAAAAGAATAAAGTAATCAAATGCAGTTTGTAAAAATGTAAATAAATGTGAGAGTAGAAACATATTTAAAAAAAAAAAACATACTACCTCCGTACCATTTTATGTGTCTCCTTTGGTTTGGCATAATTTTTAATAAAATGGTTGAAAAAGTAAAAGGTGTGGTTGAGATTTGAGTATAGTAAAGTGAAATGTTGTGAACCACATATTTCTTTTTAAAAAAGGAAAGATGACACTTATTTTGTGACAACCCAAAAAAAAAAGAAATTAAGACAGGTAAAATGGGACAGGGGAAGTACTAAAAAGTAAAGATTGGCAATATAAGAGCATCTTCAATGGTTGCTTCTACGGACTTGCTTGCAATTTTGAAACTACTAGCCTACCATTGGAGCATGACTCTTCTTTTTGCTTGAGAAAGCTAATTAGCCCAAATGAGCTACTAGCTTGATCCAAAAGAATTATTAAATATAGCATTACAAATAATAAATGAAGAGGAAAGAGTTGTAGCTAACCATTGGAGTATATTTCAGTTTTGCTACAAATGCTTATGTGGCTAGCCAAGCTATGAGTGCAATTATTACAAAACAAAAAAGCGGTCGTCTCCTAGGGTTCGCTAGGTTGTTTTTCCGACGGTGGCCTCGGCATCACGCCAGGCCAGTCAGTTGTTCCTTTCAAGGTTTTGCGGGATGAGTCTCATTGGCTCGAATTGTCGAGGTCTTGCGAATGCGGGCACGATTCAGGGGTTAGCAGACATTGTTCAATCGCAGCGGCCATCTATGGTTTTTATAATGGAAACGAAGTGTAGCAGGGAAAAGGCAAGGGGAATTCTCCAATTCCAAGGCTTCTTCCAGTTCGCTGGTTCTGACATTAGAGGCCAGAGCGGCGGGCTAGCGTTCGGCTGGACGGACGAGGTCGAAGTGGATATTCGGGAGGAAGCAGACACGTTTCTGGACTGTTTGGTGTGAGCTTCGGCGACGGAGGATAGCTGGAGAATGATTGGATTTTACGGCTTCCCGGAAACAACTCGAAAACGAGAAGCGTGGGATTTGTCGAGTGGCCTGGCGGAGAACAATACTATGCCATGGATGGTTATCGGAGATTTTAACGATATTGTGTACGAATCGGAGAAGAAAGGAAGATTCCCTCATCCAGAATGGAGACTGAGGGGTTTCCGAGAAGCAGTTTATGTTAGTGGATTACGAGACTTCCCGTTTCAAGGCTATCAATGGACATGGTATCGGGGTAAAGGAACGGTTAATTGGGTGGAAGATAAATTAAATAGAATATTGGTAAACGATGACTGGTGGAATAGATTTATGGAGGCTCAGGCTATGTCTATTGAGGCTCCGATGAGTGATCACATGGCTCTATGGATAAAGTTTTGTCTGATGATTCATAGCAAACGGCCGAGAAGGTTTCGTTTCGAGAATTTGTGGTTACAAGAGGAGGAATGCAGGTCAGTGGCTGTGAATAGCTGGATAGCAAGTCAACATTTTTATGTCAGCGAACATATTGATTTTTGTGGTACGGAGCTTCTATGGTGGGACAAGTGTAGACCGAAAGGCTTCAGGAATCAAATCCAGACTTGTAAGAGAAATTTAGCTCGTCTAAGGGGTTGTACATATGATTGGAGTGTTAATGAATTTCTCAGGGTGAAAGCAGTTATTCAGGTCTTACTAGAAAAAGAGAATATTTACTGGAAGCAACGGGCAAAAGAGTTTTGGTTGAAGGAAGGAGATATCAATTCAAAAAAATTCATAACGCCGTCAAACAATGGCGTAGGAGGAATAAGATGCAGAGGATTAGATTTGAGGATGGCACTTGGGTTGATGATCGAGCGAGAATGGGCGAAGCAGTAAAAAATTACTTTGACAATTTATTTCAGAGTAGAGCTGAACACCAGGAGGAGGAAAATTTGGGGAATTTTTCCCAAGTTTCGGAAGGCCAGAATATTGAATTGATGAGGCCGATTACAGCTAAAGAGGAGAAGAAGGCGATTTTTGACATGCACCCCGATAAAGCACCAGGTGTAGATGGTATGAATCTATCACTCTTTCAAAAATTCTAGGATGTGGTGGGGGTGGAGGTGGTCCAGTTATGCGTTGACATGTTTAATACAGGATTACAGGCCATATTCCCAAGGAATTAAATATTACTAATATGGGTGATTGGAGACCTATAACACTTTGTAATGTTGTTTATAAAAAAAATTCAAAAGTTCTGGCGAACAAATTGAAGTTTATTCTGAGTGGTTTAGTAGGGGAAAATCAAAGTGCTTTTATTCCGGGTTGTTCGATTGTTGATAATATTATTGTGGCGTTTGGGACTCAACATTTTCTTAAAAAGAAGAGTTTGGGTAAGGAGGGTTTTGTTGCTATGATGCTTGATATGAGTAAAGTTTGTGACATGGTGAGTTGGAGTATTCTGAAAAATATAATGCTTCAGATGGGATTTGACCAGAGATGGGTGGATATAATTTTAGAATGTGTCTCTTCAGACGGTTATTTTGTCTAGTTTGGTAAAGATTTATTGGGACCGATTGTTCCCCAACGGGGTTTGAGAGAAGGGGATCTGTTATCTCCATATCTGTTTATCCTAGTCACGGAGGGAATGAGTGCAATGATAAGGAAGGTCAAACAGAAAGGGGAAGTGCATGGGTGTCAATCTGCAAAGGTGCCCCGAGGGTGTCACATTTACTTTTTGCTGATGATTGTTTTATGTTTTTTAAGGCTTCGCAGGGTGATTGTGATGCTATGAGGAAGATTTTGCAGGTCTATGGGACTAATTCGGGGCAGA